GTCCCCCCTCTTGTATAGGAAATCCTAAGTGAAGTCTCAATTCATAATGATATTTGAAATCTGGTATTGTCTTGCGCTCCGTAAAATAATAGCGCGCCCAGAAATTGTTAGAAATACTTAGGAGGTATAATATAGACTTTTTAGCCTCTTCTCAGGCCTTCTTCTTCTTCAAAAGTTGAGATAGAAATGATTTACTTCACATAATTTGTCTTAATAGCGATGGACTAAGGAGTACAATATGAACGTCTTCTTCGACCTTTTTCTTTTTTATTGTCTTATACGATCGAAAGAAATATTCTTTCGCGATAATCCAAGGAGACGCGATGATTGAAGGTTATCATATACTGAATCTTTCACTTGGAAATAAGTTTTTTTTTTACCCTTAAATTATTTAGATGAATTTTCCAAGCTTATATAGTCTCTCTTTATCCAATTTGACATGACAATATCTATTGTTATATTGTTCCCCTCCTAACATTTACTTATTATATTTTTGGATACATTGTAAAACAAAAATGTAACAAAAGATAGAGATAAAAATAAAATCATCAAAAAGATTTCATTGCAAGTCGAGTGTTTTATGGGGATTGAAAAGTGATTTTTCCATTGCCACCACCTAAAACTTTATTCTTGTCGTGTTGACCGTATTTCCAAGGCCTTCAATTCTCGATCGATTGACTTCAATGGTCAGCTAACGATTTATATAACAGTAATTACTTGCGGTATTTTTTAATTGGTTAACTGCCACCAACTTTACAGTCAACTTTTGATCAGTATTTTCGACAAAAAAAAAACAAATCAAGGAAATCTTTATATCTGACGCCATGTGTACGGCTACATTAAGCTTCTGCGGATGTATGCGCTACGGACCGCACCAACCAAAGACCACTATTTGTTATTCTTATCGATTCAAAATCAATTTCTAAATTCATTAAAAAATACCTGTCCGTCTGTCCGCCGATCCACGTTCATTTTTGTCTAATCTGCAAATTGCACTTTTTGAGTTCTTATGAAAGAATTCTGTTGAAGATGACCTTATAATGCCATCCTTAACATAATTGCTATATAGAAACAACTTGCAAAATTTAATATTTTCTGACATTGATCGGTGAAACATAGTATCTTGCCATTTAAAATCAATGTGGAATCACTTGGACGGAATGGGATCGTTGGTTGAAGTCCCTAGCATTAAAACCTTTTCACAAAAAATACGGTCCTTATGAGATAACAAGGTTTGCAATTACTTCAAAATGGTTATGTATGTATATCACATACGCCTTGCTAAATTTTAAACTCATTCGATTTTTTTCCAAACTACTATTGAATCCATCGGTATAACAAAAGGTGGGTTTATGTCAGCTCTCTCTGGGGATTGGATACCTTCGCACGTACTTAATAAACTCTTGCGGGGAATAATAGCAAAATAAGAATTATTTCTCGCCTATAGGAGCACCGTCAAATAGTTGCTGTAAAAAAAAAATGGTTTCCTTGCATTGTGTTTTTTCAAAGAATTACTAAAGAAAAATTTTTTTTTAAATATCACAGCATTTGCTTATGCAAACGGTTGTAGAAAATTTTTTTGCAATGAAATTTTATTAAATTTTTCTAAACGAATTTGTTGTTATCATGGCAGCGTAACCTCTTAAAAGCACGTATCATCATTTTACATTACATAGGTTAAGATCACTTTTACATCGATTACGATAAATAGCTTTTCGCTTTACTTAAGTTTTTTACGGTATTTGCTATCAAAAGCATCTTTTCACAAAGGTTTTCTTTTTTACGTTAATTGCTGTGTTGTTGTGGGCAAACTTCGATCTACGCAATTAAAGTAGAAATACATGTGCACAACGTCAGCCTTCTTTCTCAAGCATGCTGTGTCACTAAAGATGCCAACAATAGAAACACAGACACACAGATATAACTAAATCGATTCAGCACTTGATATGAATATGAAGTCCGTAATGTCGATCCTTAGAATTTCCAGAGGAAACCGCAAGACGTGGATAGACGAACAAGCTGAAGCGGAATCTTATGCTAAACAAAAGTATATAAGCTTCATGGACTTTACTATAACTTTTCACAGTTGTGACGAAGGAACTCAATGATGATCTTTTTAGCTCTTTACGCTACCTAACAATCGCTGAAACCTACATTTTGGTATTAAAAATTGATAAGTGAACATAACTGAAACCGAAAACGGTGTAAATTGTATAAATCTCATGGGCTATCCGAGACTAGGTTTGCAGTTCTTCCACAAGCTCAACAATCAAATTATTATTTATCCACCTGGGACTTCCATGGGTGGTTATGCGTAGTAATTTTATTAACTGATACAGTTAAGTCCTCTATGATGCGACGCTTTTTATTAACGTCTTTTCCATAATACAGAGTGAAAATTAAGACAATTCTCCTACAATCCATGTCCTTGTAAAACGTTTTTCTCATAAGAACATCACAATAACTCAAATGGATTGAAATATTTACCTGAATCTATGGCTGCACTTAGTCCATTAGTTCACTATTCATTTCTGATATTTATGGATTGTTCCCAATTCTCGTTGTCGGATACTAAAGCACTGTTTTTTTTTTTTAATTTATCACTTATTCCTAAGATTGCAGATCAAGCGAATCGAACGAATTCATTCAATATGCAACACTTCTGAGCTCCTTATAACGGGATTTCCATATAACGCGGCATCGTTTAAAATGGTTGATCTTAATTCTATGTTTCGGTTAACGCAATTTTGCAAACTTGAATTAATTCCTCGCTTACTATAATGCGTTTTCCATGTAAGACGGGAATCAAGTAATTGTATTATAGGAGACTCGACTGTAATATAAAACCCCATTTGCTTAGCGTGTGTGTGATTTGCTCATTTTTGTTCAGATTTGTAATAACTATAAAGACGAGCATTATCTATCACAAAAGTAATGCTAGATGCACTTAAAAATTATTGTGCCTTGAAAGTTGAAATTCGCTTTTAATATGCAATAAAGTAAAGTAAAACATTCTCTTTGCTTGATAATGTTGAGGTTATGTTACGACTTTCATTTGAACTTTTTTTCGAGTTTTTCATTTTTTATTTATTTATTTCTTTCTGTGTTACTTTGAAGCTATATTATGGCATTTCTTTTGCATTCCCGTCTCGCTATTTAAAAACAAAATGTATCTGCTTGAAACTTTTGAGATTATGTTCATGTGAATTTTTTCAATTTTTCAATTTATGTTTTATACTTCACGTTTTCAAGATTTGATTTAAAATTTTCCTACTTAAAGAAGGAATTTTTTTCGTGTGAATCCTTTGAGGTTATGCTATGACATTTTGCGTTGCGTTCTTTTGATTTTGCCCGTTTGCGATTTGTTAAAAACATTACCAAGTAAGAATCTATTGTAATCTAATAAACCTTTTTTGTTTTTTAGATTCTCACGCAATCAAATGAAATCCATTTGGACAAACTTATTCTGTTTGAGAATCCTAGTCTCCAATCTTGCAAAAGCGGAATATTTAATACCCACTGAAAAATTTTAAAAATTGTAACATTTACAACACTAACATTCTATGTGACGTTGCGATGCCTGTTGACTGCTCTACACATTAAATTGCTAAGGACGCATAAGCGCCGAACTTTAAATCAATAAGTTTCTGGCTTATGCGCATAAAATAGACATTAAAATATGCATGGCTATCTAATTATTAGTTGGTCTAAAAAATATTAAACTTTCTTCAATTTCGTATTCAATTATCAGAGATATCCCTCGCAAGGGCTTAACATTTTTTCGATCAGAAATCTAATTATATTTATATTTGATCATCGCCATATTCTTAGTATATGTATGTGTGCGTGTGTGGTATGCTTCAAAGACTACGTTCTTGCACTTACTGTCACAGCGTTTTCTAGACTAACCAATCTGTTCATCTTTGATGCGAATGTTAATGTACCCTGCGTTAACATAAAAATTGTATAAACTACAAAAAAAAAAATAATAATAATGTGAAAATTAAAGTCATTTTTGCAGAGAAGAGGTCCAGCGAAGCATTGGCAAAAATATTGTTTGTTGTGGGAGCGATAAGACAAAAAACGCCTATAGCACCTTACAATGGGGCAGAACATAGAATACAGAATGCAGAATGTAAAAAATACATGTATGTTTGCATTGTGTGGTATCCGTTTCGGATTTTTCTGAACTACAATATAAGTTGAATGAATATACACATCTATGACCATATATCGTTGTGTTGTTGCTTGTTTTTTTTTTGTCTAATGCTATGTGCACGAGTATGTACTCAATCATGTCAGGCCGGCATTTATGCATATATGTACACATATAAATACGTATATATGAGTGATTTAAGCAAAATACAACTTTAAACTCTAATGTTTAAGATATTTTCTGTAAAAATGTACACATAAAATATATATATATTTACATACATACATACACATATACATATACACCATATATACGTATATATATATGTATACATGTATATATGTATATATATATATATATATATATATATATGCGTATATATAAATACATACATATATGTGTACATGAACACTGTATTAGCGATGGTGGCAACAAAGTACAAATGTTGTTTTCATTTTGTTATTTTTCTTCTAACTAATATCCGTCCTTGGCTCGTCTGTTCAACTTTGTCCTACTTTTTCATTAGTTGGCTCTAACAAAAACAACAATAAAAAAAACAGAAAAAAAAATTACAACTCAGTACAATCGACGGCGTACACACGTCGCACTATAAGTGCATACAAATATATGTTATTATGTGTCTATGTGTTTATGTGTTTATGTGTACTATGCATTTGTATATTTCCAATATGTTTGTTTGCATTTGTACACACACAAAACGAACGAAAAGTGTAGAGGCATGCACTCAGAAGAAAAACAAGTATCAACACGTCTGTGTGTGTGTGTGTCTATGTGTGTGTTTGACAGTGCAATGTATATATAAGCATACATATATATATGTACATTTATGTATATACGTATATTATATTATAGCAAAGCAAAGGTATTGAATCTCAAACTCACGAAAAAAAAAGAAACAAAAAACAAAAAAATTGAATGTTAAGCAGAATTAAGTTCTTTTTTAATTAGAAACTATTTTGTGGACCGGCTTACAAATAAATAGAATCTATTATCACAAGTTGACTGCGTTTTGCAGATTAGATAGGCAGGTAAGACAAATAAAAATTATTATTAAATCCTAGAGCCTTTGTTGTGTCATCTCTATCCCCTTTGCACTTCATCAATAAATTATTAAGTAATTTATTCAATTTTCATTTCCATTTTATTACATAATTTCAGTTTAAATTCTATCTATATGTGTATGGAAGAATTCAAAAAAATATTAAGCCTACCGTCAGATACATTAAATGCTATTTGAGACTAAGACGTCGAGATGAACGTATGAAATATATGTATATTAAAAATATATAGTGTACAGTAAGTATTTAAATGTTCGTTGACATGAAACTCGCAACAAATGCTACCCGACATCTATGCCTTTATGGCGACGGTGACAGTTTTAATATATTAAAACCAAGTCAATAATAAAAAACAAAAGAGAATAGTTTTTGCTCATTGGTTCGTTTTTGGCGACAGAATCGAACGCAACTTGCGATATGTGCCATCAAGCATGGTTTTTCTCTCTTTCGGGGGCATATTGTGCCTTATAAAGACCTATCGCTGACTTCATTTAATTCCCAAATTCTGTGCCACACAACAAACAATGAATAATCAATAAAAATTTATCAACTCTCGCTTAAAAAAAGGAGGTTGCCGAAATGGCAAGACTGTCAGACTTTTCTTACTCTGATAAGAATCTCTGCAGAAGACCTCAAGAATATGAGAAACCGAGTCTTCTTACCCTCTTCTATCTCCCGTCCGCTATTAGAGCAGGACGACGCAACCCTCTCTGGGGAACACTGTTTGATAAGAGATTATGACAAAATGTCCTGGGTAAAAATATGGAAAATATTAAAAAGCGTATTAGCCATTCGAGCCGATTTCGTTTTCGTTTCTTTTGCTCTTGTAACAAGACGACACAAATCCGTCAGCGGAGAATTACTTGGTGGTCTTACAAATATTTATCATACGAATATGCAGAATGTCAGCAGGTGCATTAGATTACCTTTCATGTAGTCTGCATAGTCCTTATCTTTCTCCACATGTTACTCTGGGCATTCCGAAAAGGGATAAAAATAGAGTCACAACCAATCTTTTATGATATTCGTGCTTACGAGTGGTTAACGCAACCCCTCTTACGACCTTTAATAGCTAAGTTTAGTGAATATAACAAAATGTAACGAGAAAACGAGGTGGGGATAAGAAAGACAGCCATGGAATTCGTTTATTTTTGATTGGAAGCATACAAAGCCGGTTAAATATTAAAATAGATACTGAAACGTTGTGAAGAAATATTTCACAGCTGGAATGGCATACAGATCTGAATGCTGATAGAAACTATCATAAACTTTTCTTCAAATAAAATTGAGAGCAGCAAGGGAATAATAGACACTACATGGCTACTTAACAAAACTACGTCCTTTCTCTTTTTTTTTCTTTACAAGACCACTCATTCAGGGAGTATCTCTTGTACGCGTAACATGATGACGGTTACAAAAAATTAAGCAGAGAAATAGAATGGGAGTGGCAACGGCCCAGGGTGTTAGTGCGCAGTGATGAGTCGTATGACTTTAATGACGGCGCTCAACCAACCAAGCTCTGCTGCGCTGAGATTTGAAATTGATGTGAACATAAGTTCGGTAGCCGCAATTTTTTCCTGCTCGGCTACTCGTGTGGATCTCTTGAATTTTATGTGCAGATCTGACACGAACTTAACCGGTCATCTAATAAATAACCAAAATTTACTGAAAAATGTTTCGGGTAACATGATAAAAAAAACTTTATTTAGACCGTTTTTGATATAAGTTGCAAATAGGTGAGTTTACTTCTCTTTCGACACTTCTTTTTTTCTAAATAGAAAAAGCTTTTCATTTAGTTTTAATCGCTTCATACCTCCGCATATATATTTGTTCGTTTATATAATCCGGACAGGATTGTTTGTGTACATAATTTTTGGATTTCCTTAGCTCTTCCCTTGCTCCCTTATGTTGAAGCGATAAATATACATCTGAAGTATGATAAGTTATTTATAAGATCTTTTAACAAGAGATGTTGTCTTAACCTTAAGATTATTTTGAACGATCATCGCGCAAGTACTAATCACGTCTGATAAATAAAACCTAAGCGAACTTTTGATATGGAGTGATGCACACTTCCACAATGCATTAAAATAGTGAAAATTCATTATGAAAATTTTTAAACAAAAGTACATCTAATTTTAAGGTTAATTTTCGTACGTTTGTACACGTGGACAAATTAAATTGCCGCATTTGGATCTGGGAAAATCGGAGGGAAACATTTAGGTAACCTTTATAAATGTAATGAGCGTTAGGTTAACGCATTTTTTTGGCTGACGTTTCAATTAACTTAGTTTGTTCCATGAATGGAACAAAACCTGCAGGATTGACTGACTTTTTGTTTACTTGAATTTGATGCTATAGACGTAAAAGACACATATTGTCAGCACGACGGCATCACTTGTCATATAACTTGCAGTGAAAGATATAAAATGGCACCTGTTGTTGTCAGACCCTGTAGACTTCTTATCGACTTATTGTTTCTCCAGTTCGATTTAATCGGTCCCGTCTTTCCACATGTCCTAACTATCTGATTCTTTACTTAAAGTAGCAATTCTTAAACTTTAGATCAACTTAGGGTAAGTTCACTAACTTCATAAATCGAATTTGACAATGATAAAAAATTTGTCATAGAACATTATTACAACAACAACTAATTGAAGTCTTCAATACATTTAACATTACTAAATGTGTAAACATTATTCAGACCGCTCTTTAGATATAGGGCAAAAAGATATCAATCGTGGATGGCAAGTAAGAAAAAACTAGGAAAATTATATTCGGTTGCAGCAGAATCTTTTAAACCCTTCACCGTTATCCTAGAAAAGATTTTAAAAAGAGGAAAATTATAAATTTTCTTCGCCAGACGGACAGACGGACATGGTTAAATCGATTCAGAATTTGATGCTGATCAAGAGTGTATGTGTATGAATTTGTGCGGTCTCTGAAGCTTTCCTTGGTTTTTGCAAACATTTTTACAAAATGATGATCATCCTTCGGTGATGGGTAGCAAAAGGAAACGTTTTGGAAACAGTTTCAGTTTTTTAAACTACTATGGACTTCTCTAGATCATTTCAAAGCTTGAGTGTTTAGATTAGTAATTAAAACCATATAGAGTTAATATCAATTTTTCTCTATTAAGACTTTAACAGCTGAAATAATAGATGGGACACGAAACGACCGTTTTTCTGCGAAATATTTACTACATTACTTGGAATATATAAATAATCCTTTTTAATGCAAAAACAATGATAAAATTATTGCACCTTAACTACTTGATGATGAGTATAAAAATGTATTACTTTTGTAAGGCAAGACTAACACAACCCTACTAAATTTTTCTCTTGAGTTCGTTTTCATATAATATTGTCTCTCAGTTATTACGAGCAAGACTCGTTTAATGAAAAAAAAGAAAAATGAAGAGAGTATGCTCGAATTAAGACGAATCTTGAATAGACTACTACTACTACTCCTACTACTACTACTACTACTACATACAAATATATGCAAACAGTTTATTTTTAATAAATATTTTTTTCCATTAATAGAACGATCGAGTACAATCTTTACTGGGCTTTTTTAATTATTCTTTGTTAAATCTTTTTCCGTCAATTTGCAGGCGATTAAAGAAAATATTGTCAAGATACGTTTGTTTACTGAAAAGTTACTTGTAACTTTTTTGAACCACTATGCAGACTCAGCGCATTCTCAAACTTGCTTTATGCGAAAATTTACACAACACATACGCAGGTTAGATAAGAAAGCTTTTCGTTTGCATTTTGTGGCGCCATTAGCTTAATATTATGCAGTTTCGATGCTTTGTTGCAAAGTAAATGATTTTGTTAGCATACCTTATTGTGTGATGGTGAGTATAATGAAAAGAACACATATCAATATGAACTTACGGTTTGTCTATATAACGTTTTACACAATACTTGCCGTACGATAGCTAAGTTGAAGCAAGCAATTCCGTTGCTGCTGATTTCGGGGTCAATGACCACCAAAAATATTGCTGAGATAATTTTTTTTTTGTGTTTGCAGAGATAATAGAAAGCATATGTATATGTGCTTATGCACATTAATATACACGACAAGATAGTTGCGTTCGGGTTTATCCCTTTTCTAAATACAGGAACTGAGTTAGATCTTAAGCTTTAATAACTCATAGATGCATAAAAATAGAACACGATAGAGTAGAGATTACATTTGGCTTGAAACGAACCTTCGATACTCTGCATTGTTACCTTTCTGTATACGCAAAAGAAGTTTGCATAAGCACAAGAGAACATTGCCTGAACTTAACTTTGTTTGATCTTGAAATTCCGAAATTCCGACTGTTTACTATCAGCGATTTATTCCATCGTTTTCAATGTGCTATAACGTGATTTCGATATTAGATATACGACAGAGAACAATATAACACAGTAATGACTCATAAAAATGGTTCTTACAAATGTATAAAATGTATAAAAAAAAGTTTTGAGTATTACATAATTAGTGAATGGATCAGCCCATATCCATCTGTTCACACGTCTATGTAGTGCCGGTACTATTGCTGGCAATCCTATACTTATATATTTGACTAACTGTTTAGAGAATATTCCCTACACATGGCCGGCAGTTATGAAGAAGGTTTACAAGTAGACGAGAAAGCCAAAGAATAACTTAGAAGTTAAAACTTCTGGAAAAGCGGAAAAGGTCACTGCTGACACCTTATTACTAACGCGGACAGTGCGGTTAAAGAATAAAGACCCACGATAATGTAGTACGCGGGGAAAAAACAGCTACAGCAGCATTACCCGTAAGTCAATTTATGACAACGAACCTATAAGTGTGCTCTTGTAGGTAAAAAACTTCGAACGCCTAAGGGGCTACAGTCATTGGCTCACAAACATTTTCAGGATCTTTTTTTTGGACGATTTAAGCGTGTTTGTAGGTCCAACAGCTCGTCTAGCTGCCCTACTCTAGAATGCAGACATTCTTTTCATCTGTTCGCCCTTTGGCCTGTCTATCTGTCCGTTCAATGAATTTCCATGTATGTTACTTGTTCAATCTGCGGTTTACAAGCTTTTGCAATATTTTGAGGAAACTCAGCATGTTCTCAATTGTCATTTGGTCCAAGGACGAACGCTACAGATAGCAAAAAAAAATTGAAAAATTCTTTCGCTTTAACAATAAATACAGAAAATTTATGAATTATTGAACGTATGATTGTTAAGTGTTTCATCAAAAAAGAACCCTTTATAGGGCGAGAAAGTTGGAAGAAATTAGACCAGGACAACGTTTTTATATAAAAATTTGTTATAGTATGTTTGAACCACAACGATACGTTTTTAGTACTCCTTCCCATCTAAGATCCACGAAGATCGAATTTGGCATATATTATGAGAAAAATAGCAAAAGAATAATAAGTTCCTGAATCATATCCGTTAGATTGGATATGGAAAAGCGAGATGATGATGATGACAAATAGCGGTTCACATACGACAATAATGTGCGAAGAAAACGTGGTTTCAGATGAATGAAGCTGCACAGAGCTCGGAACGATCCCACGTAAAGAAATGCTTTGGTGCGAAGGAGGAGGAATCGCATATGATGAACTTCTTCAACTTGCCCAGGGGGTTGATTTCATCCTTTACTCCACAGTCAGTTTGTAGCAGTAGCCCACGCTGGTCAACAGTAAAGGCTTGTTTTATTCTCGCAGCACGTTCAGACCGCACAGGTCTTTAATAACTCAAAGAAAAATTGAAAGAATTTCCCTTGGAAGTTTTGACGCATGCACGGCGTAGCCCGGACCTTGGCCGCTTATTTGTTCCCCGTTCTGCAAAACTTTTTTAATGTTATAAAACCAACTTTGAAATAGGTTTAGTTTTCCTTCCGAAAATGCCAAAGATTCTATAGTGAGGACCGTAATTTGGTAAAAAACTATTATTGAGTCCATTAAACTAGATGCGCCTATACTGCCTGTAGTTCATCCGTCCATCTGTCTACCGTCTGCCTCCTGTTGTTATCTCTCCCGCCAAGTGAGAAAAATCAAGACAATTAAAATTAAGTTTTAAAACTGGCGCGACACGCCCAGTAAAGTTAAATAATACTAGATACAGATTTGAAATATGGCATAAGTGAATACTTAGAACTTTCCGAACTTGTGCAAAAAATGGGCTTGACACATCTACCAAGGCGAAAACCCTGTCAAAAGTATTTCTTAAAGTCAAACTAAGAGGCCAGTGTGATTCTAAATCGTTTCTATTGACTAAATAGCCTATTTACGTTTAAGAAAATTTTTGTCAATTCTAATAATATATATCAAAGCCTTATCAGGTCAACTGAAACACTTTGAAAGTTAAAAATGATTTCTGCTTAACTAAGTCTTCCTTTAATTAAAAATTTTATTCGTTTTTGTTATTCATCATTGAAATACTGAAGCTAAATATATACGTAATCAAAGGCTTCAAGAGGAATAAATTTTACCTTTGATAGATCCACTTGAGTTGTTTTGTACCGGTGATTGTACATTACTTTGCCCTAATGTATTCGCGTGGACTTCCAACTTGGATGTAACACTACTCCACATATCAAACATACGTTGTGTATACATTATATTAAGTTTATATCCTTTTTGTACAACAAAAACCCTACTACAACTTTGTTGTAATATGCGTTTCTATTATTATTTCTTTATTATTATTATTATTATTATTATTAGTTTAATTATTCGCAAATATATATGTAGATATATAAAAACGTTATGAAAAGAGTTTTTATGCGCAAGAAGAGAAGTAAGAAAAAAAAAAAACTTTCGCATAAAACAAAATTGAACGATTTTTGTTTTCCTTTTCTTTTTTGTAACAGTTTTGATGTTTATCAACCTTTGTCTCTCTCCGAAGGTTTTCGTGTAAAAATAACAAACGTGGTTTTTATATACAAATTAAATTAAATTTCATGTATATATTTTTATATATATATATATTATTTTTATATAATATAACTACATATATAGTTACATATGATTTGATGTGGATGTATATATAGTACATATATATATACATATATATGTTATATTTTTGTGTCTATATATATATATATATGTTAGTGTATATATATATATCAATAAGAGTCTAATAAAAACATTACATGTTTTATATAATTTTTCTTTTTGTTTTGCTTTTTGTATTTAATTAGAATCCATTTTTAAGGCATTTATTGCCCACCATTGCACTTAAGGAAAACTATTATTAAAGATGATGAAATTTGCTTCGTACCAAAACGTGGATGTATTGCTATTGGTATCCAGGGATGGTATAATAATTTTTTAAGTTTCGATTTTTTTTTTTCTTGGGGTAAATATTTTTAAATGTGAAATACTAGTATCACAGTTACTATTAAGATAATTTAGCTAATTTAATTATTATTACTACTATTTTTATTATTTTTAATTTTTTTTAAATTTTTTTATTTGTTTTTGTTTACACGTGATAGGTACAATTTTGGTAAGGTTAGGTTATAACTGATGTATGTTATGTTGTGTTATGTTATGTTAAACGGTGAATTACTAATTATTATAAATTTGATATAAGACACTTGCTCAAGTATTTATTAATTAAATACTTTTATTAGGTTATTATTATTATTAGAAAATATTAAAGCCTTTCATTTTATTGTATTCCTTTTTTTTTTTTAATCTTGTATATCTATATATATATATATATATATATACTTAAGTTTTAATATGTCTATAATATATATACATATATATATATTTATATATATATATATAAATTTGATGCTATCGTTTTAGAAGCGTTAGCTCAATCATTAACTTTGGCTCTCTCTTAAATCACTTAGGCACTGAACTGTAAATGCTGGGTGACACAGAGGGGTTAGATTCTAGTGTTCTTTTTTTTTTTTTTTGCTTTTAATTCACATATACGTATATATCAATCAGTTTTATCCATTCATTCATTGCTTGCTCGCTTGCTTGCTTCACTTTGCAAACAACATTCTTTAAGCTAAATTTCTGAAAAATTCCTTATTTGATTCTCTAACAGTTTAAGGTGTTTTTGATGAAATGCATTTTTATCCGTTTCGCAACCTTTACTTGAAACTTGATTATTGACGTTAACATTGGTTTTGCTTTTGCAATTTTTATTCAAAATAATATTATTATTATGTCTTATTGCTGTTGTTGCTATTGCTGCGGCTGTTGTTGTTGTCGTAAAATTTTTTTGCTGATTAGCTTTTGTATTTTTACACTTGATCACTTTCACTTTATTATTGGAATTATTTTGTTTGTTGGGCTTAATGGCGTTAGTGTTGCAGGCGTTACCTCTCTTTTGGTTAAATTTATTGATATTATTGTTGTTATTGTTATTATTATTATTATCATTATTTTGTCGATTTCTCCTTTTAGTTTGATTCCAAATTAATATATCCAAAAACACGAAAATTTCGCGACAATTTATTCCGGAAGACATTTGGTGGAATTCGTAACGTATTTGAATGAAATATATATTAAGTAAACGAATGTCTCTCTCTCTCTCTCTCTCACTTTCTCTCTCTTTCACTCTCCCTCTCTCTTTCTCTCTCTCTCCCTTCTCTCCTTTTAACTTTTATAACTTTAACGTCTCCCGCTTATGCGCCGTCTGCTTTCTCTTTCAATCTGCGAACTCGAAATTTTCAAAAATATTCATTGGTTTAGAATTTCACTTCTTTAATGACTTAATTAAAAAAAAAAAAAAGGTAAAAAGACAACAACAATGAAAAAACAGCTCAATTAGCTACATTCGCCTTAGGAGGAATCTTGGATATCGTATACCGTTACCAATAGTTAGAGATACGCTAATTATATTTTTTTCTATTTTACATAAAGCAAAACGCGTCTGATCGTCTTTGGAAAGAAGTCTTTTAAGTTAATTACTTTTATTTCATCTTTCATTTTGGCTTGTCTCATAATTCTAAAGTGCATGTAAATGGAAAAAAAAGACTTATTCTTAGATAGAAGTTCTCTTTAAGCGAAGGGGAAAATAAAACTAAAAAGTTTTCAGTATTACAAGCATTGTATATGACGTGTCTAACTCAGATCTAGGTTCTAGGAACATCCGTTGCTCGGCTTCCTTGAAAAGCGTAATAAAAAATGTAAGCACGTCATGCACATTCTTCTCTCACTTCAGTTGCGTCAGCCAGTCTGGGTAGTATGTATGTATGTAAACGCGCCGCTAGTTATTGAAATATATTAAAGAAAAATTTATATTCTCGTTGCAACAAATCTTGAAGATTCGTTAGTTCATGCAAACGAACAAAAATTGCCAAATTTAATCATTTTGGACGAATCCAGTCTCCCATTCATTTTTTCATTTTGTCATCTTGGAGATGTTAGCATGTATTTGCACCTAATTTAAGATTGATATTTTCAACTTTTTGACCGTTTTCGAAGCATTAAATTTCTTGGCTAAGTTTTTCATTAATCCATAATTGGAAAAGAATGCGCCCAGTGCTTCAGTAATAGATAGTGGGCCAATAAAAAAATCAATAGATAAAGGAACAATTTACAGACCAATTTATTTAATCCTGTGTCTCCGATATCTCAGTTTATCCCCTCTTGGAACTAGAAAACTTAAAACTTAAATATCCCGTTAAGTGGGGCTTTACATTTTGGTAGTTTGATTCAGTTCGTTCCTTAAGGAATACGAGTGCAGGCAAATTTCTAATAGGAACAGAAAATTAATCTACCTAAACCTACCTTTAAAATTTTCATTGCACCTGTACACCTTCTACAAAATGAATTACAAGAATCCTAAAATATAAAAAACTAATGTGAAAAGTGTTACCAAATGATATTGTAGAATACTTTGCTGTAACGTGGACAGAGTATTCGTGAAGACTTTGATGAAAGTTTTAAGAGCTTAATTGCTACGCCTTCAAAGACTCATCATTAAAAAGCCGTTCAATTAAATTTTTCAAAACTATTAAACTAAAATTTATTTTCATTGTTACCGGCAGTTATATGAAATATTACTTGCTGCACTTCTTCGCTATAGACCTTACAACGGGCAAAGGCATCTTACTTAGGGACAGACTGCTAGGAAATCATGAAATTAATCAAATAAAGGTTTGAAACGATTTCGACTATGATTTACACGAAACACTTTTATTTATTGTTTATTATATATAGTACAGTATAATTTTTATATATGGCATTTTTCTCATACCTTTATGATGTGCTACTGCAAAACATATGGTATGTGAGTTAAATTTGGATGCAAAATGGGTGGGTATCCAGGGTTCCCCCCATAAGGCATGCATAGCTTTCTTACTTTTGCGTTTTCCATTTTGAGTTTATTTTTGCTTTTCATTTTTATAAAATGCCGCACAATTTTGCCTATAAAGTTCCGTTAAGCAGGTATTGGTGATAAGTAAAATATTCATCTTTAGAGCGAGTCTTTGTTGGGTACTCACTGTCACTGGTCGTTTTGTAAAAAAGTAAAACTCATTACGGCAAAATACGTGAGAAGAAGAGAAAAAAAAAAAAAAACAATTTGTGTAGAAATTGCTTTTGCCTAACGGGAAATCTCAGTCAGTAAGTCAAAATACATATATATATATATAAACATATACTTACATTATATATATAACATGCGTATGTATATAATATATAGCATATATATATATATATATATGTATGCGTACAATGTATGGGGATAAATGTATATTTTTTAGAATTTGTGTATGTGTGCAAAAGCTTACACTTTTAAATTAATTATGATTGCGGCAGCTTATTAAACTCAAACTAACTGAAAACAAGAGAAATTTTGAAAAAGGCAAACAATTTTAGGGAATTTGTCGAATTTTAATACAATATAGCGAAGAATAAAAAAAAAAAAACTAGGAGCACATGTACACATTTTTCGCCCGATATGAATATTCTTATCATGTCGCGATGTATTATTATTGCAAGTAACACTGTACACTAACTCTACGCTATACATACGTATCGTTTAACTAACTAAACAGCACAATATGCGGTCGTTTGTATGTATGCATGCGTGTATGTAGCAAAGAAATAAATTTATGGTCACACTTTCTGGAATTAAATTCATGATATTTGTATTTTGTATATGAGACTTTTTTACAAACACAAAAAATAAAAAATAAAAAAAAAATAAATAAATAAATGAAAGGCAAAGGAAGAAAAATTAGAAAGAAGAAAATATAGAAAAACTTATTCTAGTGAAATTATGACAAAATGAGGAAAAGCGTAAAAGTTATAATTCTCTATGGACCTGCGCTTGCGCTTACTTTGTTTGAGTGTTTGTTTGTATGTAATAGACAATAATAATAAAGCGCCTATGTTGACGGTAACGTCACCGCTGACTGCACATCGCATCGAGTCGATAGTCGTTCGTTGACGCTGAAAAAGGCCAATAACCTATGTAAAGCTAAGGTACTTGTTCTACTAACAGCAGACTAAGAATAAAAAAGATTACGATGTAACAGGGATACGAAAACTTGGGAAATGGGTCTTTAAGAAACGTCAGCCTACTACTACACAACGTCAACTAAACTCAAACAAAAATCGACAAAAAATGCTCCCCGTCTGCCAAACGCATAATTTATAAAAATAAAAATTCTTCTTTATAACCGAACGTAAGCAAGATTTCAAACGAAGTTATTATCTCTGCGGTTTCTGAGATAGGCAACAGCAACAACTTCTTGATTATATGTAAGCACAAATATTTTTTTTTTTTTTTTTAATCTTTAGGATGAGTAGGGTACATGAATAATCCGCTTTAACTGAATGATTATGGCTCCAATTTACAAGTTTTTGTTCTTTTTGTTTTATGTCACTTGCCCCGGTTAATATATAATATTTGGCTTTTTTTCAACTTCTTTTTTTTCTTTTTCTTCTTTACTTCGTATTGGTCTCTTAAACTTTTGATTCTGCTTTCATGCACTTTTCAACTTTTTTCGTAATTTCCGATTGCGTTTCTCAAATGCACCAAAAAGATTTTTTTTCCGTTTCGTTTCGTTACCGCTGAATAAGATGTATTCAGGTATTAAGAGAAAGAGTCGGACGGCGTGTTTCATATCCTTTCAATTTAATTTATAGGTCATAGAGTTTATCATTTTTGTTTTTTTTTTATTTTTTATTTTTTATTTTTTTAACTTTTTTTTTATTGCTATTATTCTTTTGTTTGTCTTTTATATTTTGTGTTTTTTTTTTTTTCCTGTATATTTACGGATAAAATCATAACAACAAAAACAATATTACGTCATTTTTACAACACGGGCGATCAAGCTGCATTTAACGTTTATGCTTTTCATTTGTGGGTCGATAATACCAACCGATTCCTGTTTTCAGAACAAACTTTGACATAATAATAAATCTACGACAGTTTTACATGAACGAAAATCGAACCGAAAGTGAATTTAAAAGAACGTTTTATAAAGACGTAGCAGCGTTTGTTTTTCCCGTTCTTGATGCGATAATAATGATTGTGGTGACGGTGATGATGATGACGACGATGATGATGATGATCACGATGATGATGATGATGGTGATGGTGTTGTAGTGGTGTGGTGTTGTGGTGCCCCGACAAAAAAAAAACGCGGTAGCACGATACACATAATGTACCCGCGATACGCTCAATACGAAGTGTAGCTAAAGACTGCCTCAAAATATTATCGAGTTCGCTATATTCCACAAAATCTTTAGCTATTCATCCTCGGTATTGCTGTTTTGTTGGCTGATTGCTTGCTTGCTTGCCTGCTTGCTTTATTGGCTCACTGACGGAACGGCAGGCTAACTTGGACGCCGACGTTTACGTCGTCTCTTGTTATGTTATAAAAACGTTGTGCTCCATATAGCGCTCTAATGGAGTAGTGAATGAGAAGACTAAAGCAAAATAACATAAAACAGAGAGTAACGTGGAGAGTTGGAGCATTTACTGGTAATGCAAGGAGGGGATAACACTCAAAAAAAAAAAAAAAAAAAAAATACCAATGTATCCGGTAGTTGTATGGTATGTAACATGTAAAATGAAATACTTCGAAAGCGCACTATGTTCAACACAAACTGTCACTAAAACAACAAATCTCGAAACAAACACGTTACAGCAGATAGCCAACCAACCATGATATACGAACAAACACTCTCGCACAAAATTTACTTACTTACATGCATACATGTTCATATTCACATATATTCGTCATATATTATATATACATAGACATATATTTATGTAACTTTCTGCTTACGAATAGCATAAACTGATGCATACATACGCATGCACGTACTTACAGAAGAAACAAAAAAAAAAAAAGAATTGAATAAATATCTCTATTTGTGTATTTGCGTGCGTGTCTGTATGTGCGATGGTATTGTAGCCTCTTCAAATGCTCATATAATAATATGATGTACATGTTAAAGCGAAAAATACATATTCGCGCTTGGACATATATTCATATACCTGAAAGAGGTATTTATATGTTTTAAAGAAACATACATGTATATATTGTGTATATTTACATAAGTAACTGTTTAAGCATAAGTTCTTTGATGTTAATGATTACAGTAATATAACAGAATATTTGTATGCATGTACGTGTACGAATATGTAAATGTAAATGTATGCATATTCATAAGAACAAAGATGGATTTTTCCTTTTTTTTCGTCTTTTTTTCTGATGTGAATTTTTCGTTTTATTTCGTGCTGAGTAGGTATGTGTGTCTCTGTGCCGATTTTATTTATTTGATTTGTAACCGATTCGTAAACTTTGCTGCACTTGCACACGATGTTGTATCTATAACCGTCGTTTAACAGCTCGCTCGCTTGCTCTACGAGCGTAAAAAATGAAATTTTTCTTTGCCGTTACATTACAGTCAGAAAAGCTATTCGAATTGAAGAGCTTGCTTAATTAAAAAAGAAGAGCATGAAAATAAAATCTTACAGAGAACGAGCATATATGACCCATGTTTCTCTTTATGCAGTAGTGGGGCATAAAGCATAGCTGAAGTTCTCTCTTTTGCTAATGGTGGAGATATTTACATATACGCATGTATAAAGATTCCTGCACATTCCTATACAATCGAAGGATAAAGGAATGATAAATACGGCATTTTTATTATTGATATAATATATATTGTCTTGACTTAGGTAAGATTTCGATCTAGTTTGCATTACAACATGAATGTCGAATTGATTTATAAATTATAGATAGCTCCTATGTACGTTATAAGAATTCACTTTGTCGCTATCCTTTAGAAAAGTAAAGCAATTTATTTAATCTCTAACCGGTTAGCTTGTCAGGAACCTCTGTGAGAAAAATACACTTCAACTGTGAAACAAAAATTACGTATTTGAGCATACGACGCGTATACTCGTCATAACGGAAAATATTGTTATGGTATGTGTTGTCGTCATAACTCAGAATATTGCTATGACGAGTGTACTCAAATCATAAGAAAAAATATTACATTGGCGAGTATACTCGTAACATAAAATATTATATTACTGGTATATTCATCAACGACGTCTAACCGGCTAAATTTCGAAATGTGTCGACATTATCTGCTTCCGTGCATACTTAATGGAGTTAAAAAATATGACTTTGTTTCGCTTCAAGATTTAAAAACAATTTCGCCACTAATTGATCTATTAATAAATTAAAGAATTCTCCCTTATAAATAGTCCAGCGTACAGTTGAGAACTTCTAAAGAATATTCGAGATCAAAATGAACAAGCATTTATATACGAAGATGGGGACGTGTTGGCTAATAAGTTTCTTGGTAAACATTTTCAAACTAAGCTATTGTCAACGTGAGTCGATTATGCTCATTTCCATACTTGGGCTGTGCTTATCGACTTGGCATAGATGATTCAAAGTTTCATTGCAATTTTTGCTCTAAAAAGGGTCGTGAGACAAACTATTATTTGCTCCATTTAAGACACACTTACACATAGTAATGTCTAGGACTAAATAACTCTATCACTTCAGGTGCCGATTATCTAAGACTTGTCGCAAAAAATCATGGTTTCTTTAATCAAGATATTAAAATTCCTACTGTCTAATTTCTACTGCACTTAAAGTTCGGCAGACTGTCCTTAATTAGGGAGTGAAAATTGTCAAAAGTGATTAAAGTCTAGTCGGAAGGCTTTACCGAGTCTTTTAAACGAATCCTTGCCGGTGTAAATTGGCAGACAGCAGACAGAATAAGACTCACGTGATAGTTTACTCAAAGTTTACCGTTAGTTATCTCTTTGAATAGTTGTTCTCACTCGAATTTAACTTTAATTTATGCACACGCCAGCATGTAGATACATTTTTTACTGTTAAGTATTATACCTTATGTAGTGTTGGCAGTAAAAGTAAAAAAAAAAAAATTTATTTGGAGAAGGAAAGAGAACTCGTAAAAAATGTGCGACAAAATTTTGAGAAGAGACTTGTTTTACAAATCACTAGAACAACGTCACATAAAATGATTTACATAAAGAAAGTGAAATACATGTGTGGTGGAAGACTTTGTAACCACTTGCAAATGCAAATTGTATGATATGATAAACATAATAAACATATAGAGAACATATATGATAAGCTATATGCATACATGCAGATAAGTAAGGGTGGTTCTTTTCATTTATAAATAGGATTTCATTAATTACTACTAATTTCTTTAAAAAATAGATTTTTGTTTGTTTTCGAGACCATTTGCAACACTCTATCATAGCAGAGTTCAAATGATTGGAAACGTCTTGCATAGAATGCAGTTTGCAGTTCCTATGATCATAGAACGAAGAAGGAGGAAAATGTAAAGTGTTTAAATCATTTGAAAGTCTCCAAACTCTTTCGCATGAAATTAAGTTCACATGATTGGTCTCATCAGCTAAAAAATTCCAATAGAACATTATATTACTAACGAAATTATTGAACGCAAATATTGGTTGTAGCATGCTTTCACAAATATTCTCGGCCTGACAACTGCTGGACCTCTAACTTACGACAAATAAAGATGTCATGTTCGCATTATTGATTGAATCATTTTATAGCTACGTAACATAGATTTCTTTATTAGCTGGGAAGGTAATGATCAAATGAGATCAGCTTATGTCCTGCTCTCTTGAGCGTTTCTAATGTGGACTAATTTCCAGATCGTTCTCTTTTATGGGATATTGATGAAAATTTGCAACTTTTAACATTTCATGGGGGTATTTAGCTCAATTCGTTTGCACCTGAACGTGAGTACCTAACAAGCCGACTGCATTAGCAAGCATTTCGAGCTAATTGATCTCCAAGCTTGCAAACTCGCAAACAGATTTCTGAAATATTTGGATTTCTTTATAGAAGACTGCGACGGCGAGCGCATTTTTTATGCCGGGCAATTCAATTATCTTTTCTTTAATAATTACCGCACCATTCACATTAAGCCTACATTTTTAGGCGATTCTAAGCCAACATTTAATGCGAATCGATTCCGTTCGATTCAATCTTTGAACTTGTACATCAACGCTAACCAAATTTCAAATCAATCTGATCCCTAACAAATTTTGCATCCCTCTGTGGAATAATTCAAACGATTAGCTACGAACGATGAATTTTTGGCATCCACTCTATCAATAGCTTTATCACGTTCTTCCCAGTTCACTTTAAGTATACTCTTCTAGACGATTCTAATGGGAGCCGTATCGCGACCATTTGACCAATTTTAACCAAATTTCAGTGGAACATCTGTCATATCAAACGACTTTTGATCAACAAGCGCCGGTGTATTGGGCCTTCAGAGATCAGTTTATATCTAAGCTTGTATAAGGTTGTAATGTGCGCTATTTCCAGCCGTTTGATCAGCTCTAATCAAAGTTCAGATCAATATATGTAGATTTGGGAAGACTTTCCTTTTTTATTGGACTATTCAACGGAATTTGCAGTCGTGATTATTTTAAGTATGGAATTTTTGTATACGCAATGTGACACTTACAAATGCTAAATGATTCTAGTGCAAGTTAAATTTCGAATCAATAGCTCGATCGCAATTTTTGAATCTTGTTAGACAGGCTGGCTCATCAGACCAAATTTTCAACTTTCAAATTCCCGATTTCCAATCTGATCAAGTCTTACAAACTTGAAATTCGCGATAGTTTTGAATAAACTGAATCAAGCTGATGGAAGATAAATTAATGAATTTCTAATACGTTTTTGTCACTGTGAAAACGGTAGTGCACTCTCATATCTGTTGATAGTGAACATAATAAATGTTAATTAACTTATTTTAAACATCGGTGTTAGATATTCGACTGCTTTCTTACTTACTAATCGATCCTAGTTGAGTTTTTTCGGTATTTCTGTTTATTTAAATAAATATTGACAACTAAGTATACCACGCTATAAAAACTTTGACTTAATATTATATTCTCCATAAGCCATAATTCATTTTTTACGAATTAAACATGCGTATACACTTGGGTATACATCCATGTATCTATATATGGATTAGTATACAGCACTATGTCGCAAATTTGCAAAAAAAAAAATAAATAAATAAAAATAAAAAAAAAAACAAAGAAAAAACATAATGAAACTAATTAAGTTTGCATATCTAATGTTGTGAAACTTTGGAAACAAATTACCGCAGCTTATTGAAAAAACCTGAGGATGAGATGATAAAACACATCAACCAATAAAATGAACAGAAAATAAGATGCATATTTTATTATGAATTTAGTATAGCGCAATATAAAAGAAATCACCATTTACTGTAAAACCAAAATATATTTTGTAACAATGTCAAAATTGTGAAACGTTTTGTCAAAATCTCAACGAGCAACGACCATGTTCAGGGTTAAATAATCAGCAAATAGTTATACGTTCGAATACATGTGATATAATACGTTGAAAAGGCAACTGCGTGGAACTGGTATAAATGCATTTATTATTTCATAAATTAGACAAATATTAGGCATATGTACGTATATATATATATATATGTGTATATTAATATCAATTTATAAAATGCAAAAAAGAAAAGAAAATTGTTAATAATAATAACAAAACAACAACAATCAACAATTCGAAGGAACCGCATTAATTAATTGATTTTTCAGAGGCCAGCACTAGCAAGCCTAGCACTACTAGCTTTGAACACCTTATAAGGAGTGCTTGTACACTTCGATCTTGATAAATGTATTTAAAAAGATAAATTTTATTTTTTTTCCTTTCTCTAACTCAACTTCACGTTAAGTCCAAAGTTGAAGTAAATCATTCGACGCGTCCACTCGGTAAAAGAAAAACAAATATTTAGTTTTATTCTTAAGTTACTTAAAACGTGTACTCAATTGAAAGTCTTTGTCCGCAATTTAAACGCATTTAGCTGCCCCGAAGGCCAATGCATATGTGTCTTGCTGTAACGTTTAACAAAAATTTTACTATAAAATGACAAATCTTCCATAGTATGTACGACCCCCACGTGACTTAATGTCCTCTACACTTCCTGGGAGATAAATTGATTTTGATCTTTTTCCTACCCGCATCCGGTACCACAAGTTCCAAATATCAATTTAATCCCACAATTGAAAACGCATACACTCTCAAAAAATACCGGCGAAACCAGAAATTGTGCATTGCTTAATCACAGAACAAGGCTAAAGTACGAAAAGATCACTGAAATGATAATTAACCGACCTATCTCTCTCTCTCTCCCTCGCGGTAGGTAATCCTATCTCAGATAAAAGGAACATCGAAAAAATCAAAACCATAGCAATGGATAAACCATGTCTAAACTTAAAAGAAACCGCGTTTGATCGCCGACAGAGGAAAAACGGGGAAAGTTTCAATCACTTATTGAACCTCTTCGTACCCAAGCATTGGGTTGTGATTAAACAATTTAACGTATCACGCGGTACAATACCCAAAAAAACATCGAACAAGCCTAAATCATGTTTTTTGATAAGCCTTCTCTAAACTTAATGAAAATCGAAAGCATTTGAGATCAAAGTCCGAGTATTTCAGTTTCACTCTTCCGTTATTGCGATAACTTTGTTGTCAACTTTGCTGGAAGTGGCATAGACAAAATCAAAACGATCCTGTTGAATAAAAGTTCTCAAACCTTGCGCGAAATCGTTCGGGGAACTAAAACGCCTCATGGATCTGTTTGCAATATTTTGTTCGATATATTGAGCACGATATGCGCGCAATACATGTTGTATAGAAAACAATATGCTAAAATTATGCTTGAACAAACGTAAGTTCATAACCGACGAAAAGACACGAAACTGTTGTGAAGACTATTAAAAATGAAAAATTATAGTGATGTCGATTCTTTTCTTCCAGGGCACCTTTTAATCAATCAAGAAAATGCTATTAAAACTTGTGTTTGTGTGACTTGTAATAGGGACTGTTCGTTAATCTGTGAAATTATAAAATTATGAAAAATTTCGTGAACGCTATATCACGGTGGTGTATCTGCTCGCGGGCCGCTTCCTGTTCAATATTTTCTGACTCATTTTACAACCGAAAGACCATTACCATCTTACACTAACCATCACCGCCACGACCACCTTCTTTGGATAGCCTTAAAGCCTTTTCCCATAGATCGAAAGGTTCTTAACGATTTAGTAAAAAAAAAAAAAAAAAACTTGTTTGATACAACTTTTTTCGTTCGAATATCGCGCAAAGTTTTTCTCAGACTGGCATTGATAGTTTGCAGCAAAGCCTTATTGCAAATGTTTCCATTTTAAATCGTCATATGTATCTTTAAAGGTTTGCGTAAAAACAAAGAATCATTTTTGATAATTCCGGGTAGTTTTTTGACAGGAGATACAAAACAAACAAGTTTACACATGTGTTTTTAACATCTCCAGTACTCCGCCAACGCTACGTGAAAGGCCTCACATTACTAGTTGCTTCTTTTTTTCTTTACCATGTTGTCAATCTAGACTTGCGAAAGCAACAAAGCAATTAGACATCATCCGTATATTCTTGGCTGATAATCGATAAAATATACCTGTTAGAAAAAAAAACTTTATTTATTGAAGATTTTCCTTCTTTTATGCTAATTTCGGGTACAAAAAAAAAGAAAAAAACTCGCAAAAGTTCACAAAAGTGGAAAGCAGTTTCTCTCTTTATTTTTAATTTCATTAGAATAATTATTTAACCATATGCCCGCTTCCATGTACGGGACGTACGTGATAGTGACCACACGGGGGGTTTCTCAATAAGTTAAACTACAAAGTTGAGTAAACTCTTTTCAACTTGCTGGTTACACGCGTATTGTAATATGTGGACTTCGAAAAAAAAAGTTACGTTTTTTATTTTGTTCTCATCTGTTTTCAGCTTTAACAAAAAATTATATTCTCTTCTCCTTTTAGTGAATTTTGTTACGATATACTGTTAAAGACATTTTTTTAAACGGGGCTTTTTACTTACTTTGTTGCTGACTTTTGCGTTTTTATGTATCAATGCATATATATATATATATATATATGTGTATGTGTATGTTTGCTTTTCTTTTATACAACATTCCTCTTAGAAACTCTTCTTCAGTATAACTGTATAATTTGTAGCCAACATGTTTACCGCTATAGCTGGAAATACGGTAAAAGGTGTTCATACATAGCTACAAAACGATGAAAGAAACCAGAAACAAGTCTTAATGTTACATGTACAACAAAAGTGTGTTAGTTTCACACACTAAGCTAACTAACCACCAATCGCCCTATGTACGGCACAAGCAATTTTTATTCTTTCATATGCTTAATCTTTTTCTTAAATAAAACTTGAATGAGTTTAGTTTACTACAATTATTAGCTGAGACAAAGGCCCTTAGCTGATAGTATAAGTGCCATCTGATATTTCGTCAGCAATCTTTGCATGCCTACAGGCAGAGTAGATAAGATAGGTACGTTACATTAAAATTTGTGCTCTCACTAAGCAAATGCGTAAATGGCCCACGGATTTTCTAAAGTTTTGATTGCTCAGGATTTTTAAATGCATTCGCTGCCTGAAAGTTAAGTTTACAAGAGAACATTGAAAAATGTTTACAGACACAGATACGTACACATATGTGCGAGTCATTAAGAATGGTAAGATTGATTGGATGGTTGAGTGGATGTTCTGAGTTAGAAGTATTTGCGAAATAAAAAAGAAGAAACTAGTAGTTAGTAGTAAGTCGGTTACAAGTTTTTTTTTTTTTTTTTATCAAGCTGTTGTCTATCATGTTCAGTTAGTTAGGTGTGCAAGAACAGAAATTGGGTCACTGAAAACACTGGTTTTCTAGAGGTAAATAGCCTAAGAATAGAAAAAAAAAAAACAATTGTTTTATTATTGCAAAAATAAAAAAAATATATATGAATTCAAAACAATATTCATCTGTATACCAAACTATTTGTTTATTGCCTTTGTAGGCAGTTATTTATGAAATTAAGCTGAAAACATGTAGAAAACGAGCAACAAATCTTAAATAAAAAATTTCGGCTATGGTCGTTAAGTACTTTTTTTTAAAGTAGATTTTTATATCGTACGGCTCTTGTGCTACATTTATTAAGTTTGTGCGGATGTATGCATCGCGTAGAATGCCCCAAGGTACATCCACTTTCTATTATACAGATCTATTCAGAATCATTTTCTTGTCTATCCGTCTATCTGTATGAAGATCGTAACTTCTGAGATGGATTTGTGAAATTTGCTACACTAGCGTGTTTTAGCTCAAAAACGAACCCTATTGCAAACAATCTAAAACGAGACCACTTTTGCGACCACCCCCATAAAAAACGTTTATTTTGAAAAAGGGATTATATAAGAAAACAATTAAAAACGCTACAGTCAGCCATGGCCTACCTTTAAATATCCTGCGACAATTTAGAATTATTCATACAACGACCTTTCAAAAAAACGCTTTTTACGTCAAGTGGTTGACAAAGTAGTCCGATCCGAACCGATTTCAACGGTCTTTGTCGTTGGCAGAAACCACGTCACTGTATCAAATTCCATCGAAATATCTCAAAAAATGCGATCTGTAAGAAAAAGCGAGATAACACCGACACACAAGCCTAAATCGATTCGGAAAGTGATTCTGATTCGATTGGTATATCTAATAGGACAAGTCTTTCGGGGTATTCCATACATCTCCATGCACTTCACACAAACTTGTACCGCACGTGATGTAGGGTATGTATTACCGTTTTCAAAATTTTTTGATAAACATCGCTTAGTAATAATATATCTGCATATCATATTCATATGAAAAATTGGAATTTGATGGAGCGATTTTCTCAAGCACCTCCCGTACAATCGTTCTGATGATTTAACATCTTATAATGAAAATTGGCCCATGACAGTGACTTGATATAAAATTTAACTGTATCAACCTTGGATCAAGTAAAGTAGATCTATTATTTACGAATCACCTCATATAACGAAAAGTTATCTTTTATATACAACAACAAATTCTACTCTGCATGTAAATTTAATAAATTTGATAAACGCCAGTTCACGTTTCATCGAAATATGCGTTTACGCAGTAAAGAGATATAATGTTTGGTTTATTAACACGAAAATGAAAGAACGTTTGTGAAGTATTTAATGAACGACATTGCCCGACCATAATGTTTTTGCTTGCTTATCCTAAGGTAAGTAAACGAACTCTTTAAGGGTGTAGTACTACTTCATTGCACTTATTTTTTATGAGTGTGAGTGAGAAATACATTCAGCTTGTGATGCAGTTTATAACTAAGAACGGATGCTTAAATTTTCTAAGAATTACTCATTCTCTTAAAAAAGAACAAATGTCTAACTTTGCACGTCTATTACGTGTATTACGTGCATTTTTGCCAACAATTCTGATCACTTTAGCCATATTCAAGACAGAAAAAGTGAAATGTTCGTTAAATCCTTAAAGAGCATGAAAATATAAATGAAAAATCGCTTAAGATATAAATCTTAGCCGTTAGAGTGGAATATGAAATCGGTCTACCCATGTCTGTCCCTCTGTACATTCGTTAAAATATCAGGTTGCTTGAAACTCAAAACTTTAACCAAAATTTGTTATCAAATTTGTTTGTTCGCAAATCTATTGTTTTCCTCTCTCGCCAGATTAGTTCAGCTTCGAATATTTGCCAAATTGGCCACGGACGCGTCGTCAATTACCGGAGAAATACTTAATATTTACTTTGTATTAATATATATTAGAAGTGCTGCTAAATTACATAAAATGCAATTCAAATATCGTTTGTTCGTAACTGACGATCAAATGTTGTTGTTTTATGGAAGAGACATATACGATAAAGTTTGCATAATTTATCGAAAAGTTGATTTGTTCCAGCATAAGTTAATTGTTGAGATTAAAATATTCGATTGAAGCTCGCCTTTCCTTTCGAAAATTTTTTGTGATCAAATTTTTTATGGATGAAAGACCGGAATTGATAAACTAAAAGTGATTAATGTACTAACCTGTCATGGCGCCGCTGGTACTAGGACCTGAATATTGCTCTCTTGTTGTCGACACCGGAGAGGTTATTGTCGTTGTCGCTTTATTCGCGACAGTCGCTGAAGACGATGATTCAGATCCACTTATTCGTAAAGCTAAGGGTGCATCTGTTTCCGTAGGCTTTAAAGTACCTTGACGTTTTGTTATTAAAATTCCTGCGGGTGCATCGATTGTTGTTTTTGCTGTTGATGTTGTTTTTGTTGCCGTTGTTGTTGATTTATCCGTGTTCGTGGCTGTATTCGTAACAGCAGTGATCGGCTCGAAGCATACGTCCAGCAAAGTGCTACCCGCAGATGATTGCAATCCCGCGAGATCTTTTAAATCAATCCAACTAGCTCCCACTTTATCGCTGTCCGTCAATGGCAAACTTAAAACTCTGGTATCACTTTCGTCGACAATATGAAAAGCTTGCGTGGGTTCAATTTTCACAATAATCGGTTGATTCGTTATTATTTGCGATGACTGGTGATGATCTTGTTGCGGTCTATCTTCACTATCGTCAAAATCTTGAGTATCGATTTGAATAGCGCTGCTAGGTATCACAAGTGTTGTTTCAGTTGTCGGCGCGTCAGAGGCCGTCGATGCCGTAGATGATGATGTTGAAGTCAACGTGGATGTAACTATTGTTGAAGTAGCAACCGATGATTTACGAACAACGTCAAATTTTAAAATCGTGCATTTCTCAGTTTGATTAAATTGCTCTTGGGGTCGTGATCGTTGTTGAACTACTAAGCCTGAGACATTCTTAACAAGTGTACACTTTTTCGGTTCGGCTGCAACGAACGAACTAGATGCAGATAATTGGCTGGCGGAGCTAAAACTGCGCACCGTTGTTGCGGACGTTAACGGTATAATCGAAATTGATGGCACTTGCGAACCCCTCGTTGTCGTATTACAAGTTGTTACTTCATTATTAATGGGCATTATTCCGGTGGTGGCGGTGATGGTGGTAGCGGCTACGCTAGTCTCATTGCCTTTTGTCCCTAAATTTATAGAATTTTTTGTTTTTTGTATAAGCAATAAATTGCCCGATTTCTCCGTTTTGTTTGATTTAATATAATGCGATTCCCTCAATTGGATTTCTTTACGAAACTTTGGAGCATACGATACCGTTTCTTGACTGGACGATGAAGATGAGGGTGTTTCGGATTTGTTGTTGAAGGTATGGAATTTCGTTGATTTTATTGGGCTATCGTTAACGGTGACAATGAGATGTTGGAACAACGAAGACCTGGCTGATGATGATGACCGATGATGAAGCTGATTTCCAGCGGCAGACTCCACTTTGCTAACTTTATTTTTTGATTTATTTATTTATTTTTTTTTTTTTGTTTTGTTTCGTTCTATATATACATCTATATATATATATATATATATATATATTCTTTTAGTTAGTCTTTTCAATTGTGCGTTTTCTTTAGAATTATTTTGACTGATAAGTTAACCTCTTATTATTAATGTTACTTAAATTTAAACGACGTTTTAACGAAAATGTATCCGTTTTTAATTATAATATAAAAAAGTGGACGCGGCAAATATAAATATTAGTTCGAATAATCCGTTGCATTTTTATTGCTGCATTTATTGCGTGTGTTTGTGTGTATGCTTGTGTCTACGTTTCTACTTGAATGTGTACTTGCTGTATAAACGACAATTCACAACTTTCGCAATAATAACCACAAAAGAGTTTTAAAATACATTGTCCAAGTTCTCAATACATATTCAGAACTTAATAATAAACATAAAAAATCAGCCTTTTAAGTGCACTTATTAAGGTTATATGATGGAAAAAAAGGAATAAAAACAAAAAAAAGATAAACGCAATTGCACATAGATGACTTTAAGATGCTATTTCACAGCAGCAGATTAAAATAAATGCGTTAAAATAACTGTTTAACTTTTTTTGCGTTTGTTTTTTTTTTTAAGAAATTCTTTATAAAAAAAATCTTCAACCTCGAAACGCGTACGTACTACTTTAAGATTGACTTTTAAACTGTTAATGTGTTCACTTTTATATATAGTTTCCTTTCTTATTTTTTTTATTTATTTTTTTTTTTTTTTGGCTTTTCCTGATTCCCGAATAGCTTATCCGCCCTTTACCTTCTTATAAGGAAATTTTCTTTTCTTTTTTTTTTTGATTTTTGCAACTTTATTATCTTAATGGATAACTATACACATCCTGGCTACATTTTTAGACCACAATAAGCAACGAAATATATTTTTCGAAAGCACGGATGTGAAATTCACGAATGCATCTGCGTGTGCGCAAGTTTTTTGGTTAGAGAAGAATGGTGCACAATATAACTTTAGTTTTAATAATAACGCTACCAAATAATATGTTAAAGTAATTGGAAGAAATTGTTGTTGAATTTTTTTTTTTTTTTTTTTGTTCTTTTTGTTCGTTTTTATTTTTTTAATTCATGAATTGTACGTCAAATAAAAAATTCATTTACAACACCATACTTGCTCTTTATAAGCTTACACTCCTTTTCCCTTCACTTCCTTATGTAAAAAAAAAAAAAAAAGTTGTTCGCAGAAAATACGAATTTTTAAATATAATCGATTTTTTCACAGCTATAACGGCTCTTAATATGCGTTCCTCTCTCTAAATACTCCACACAATTATAAACAAAATAGTGCACTAACTATTGTCTTCACCCAGCAAGGACGCATAGAAATTTCTTCCAGTTTGCAGTGTTCCAGAGCAGAATAAACACCTTAGGTCAGAGAACACACTTTCACAGCCTTTTCACTTTCCATTTCAAGCGTATATACTAAGGTTTTTCATGTTTCCTTTTTTTCTGTTTTTCTTTTTACTTATTTTTTTTTTTTTTAAGGGAACATCCTGCGACTTTCGAATCAAATTTTAAATACCTTTTCGATATTTCACACTCACCACTTAATTTTTTTTTATTTATTCATTCATATAAAGTTAACGTTATGCCCGTGTATGTGAACTACATCTTAGCATCAAAACTGAGAAATTTATTTTGACTTCTATTTATGCCGAAAACAACAAAAAAAAGGAAAGCAAAAAAGAAAGTTGGTCAAATGAATGCCAGGACGAGCAGCAACATTTGAAAAATAGGACTCTTTAGTAGGAAATAGGGTTAGTAGGCATAATGCCAAGTGCATAGACTGGAAATGTGTACACTTTATGTTGCTAACTATTTTCAACCCTTAAACACAGGTGCGGTTCTCTAAAGCATCACATTTAAGTTTCGCAACACATGTAACATTTCATTTATAAAATGTTTGCAGATGAATGCAACTCTGCAACACATATGCGCCAGCATTTCTACCTAAATGTAAGCTTTTTTCATTTTTTTGCTTTTTTTTCCTATAAAAAGACATTAAACTGTTCATAACTATTTAATAATTGCCATTTAAAGGCGTCAACATACGCGACCGTCTATATTCCGCTTATGAAAAATATTATTAATTTTCGTAAATCTTTGAGAAGGCAAAGATGGTTTTATAGTTAAAGTCTACTATATCATGCATGTATATCAAAGCCGTCGTAAAAGTAAAGCTTGTGCAAAGCAAACCGCTAAGAAGATTATATTTGCCTTTCACGAATTTTCATTATATTAATCATCTTAAATCAGTAACATTAAAATTTCATAGTATTTCATTAAATTTATTGGCATATCACCCGCCAAAACAGGTTAGTTTCGCATCCATCTTTCAAACGATCTAGGGATATATTTCCACATATCTTATATATTTTAAGTTAGCTGGTTTGAAAAATCCATCTTTACATATACTGCGAAAGGAGGAGGTATGCTAAATCATCTCGTCTGCGACATTGTACAATACACCTCACAAAGTATACACACTTTGCTGACTAGCACAAGACTCTATGCCAATATACCAATGCCTGTGAAATTTAAGTAAAGAATCTAAATTCGCATATTTCTTGATGATGACCTTAAGTCGAGATTAATCAAGAACAGCCCTGATAGCAAACCCGCCCGCTAGAAACAAAAAACTATCTACAACAAACAGTGAACATTTCCCTAAAGCCTGGCAAAAGTCTAAGACGATTTACCAATGTCTGCCCATTTCTCTATTCGGCCGCATATTGTTGGAACACTCATGATTGAGGTGAAGGCCCTCAATTGAGTTTTAAAAATAAGGTATTATCTGCTTCCAATCGAATTCACAATAAACAATAAATAGTAGATTGCAATAGATTAGTTTGAACCGCGCTAAACATATTTCCAAATGTAGAGAAAAATAACTATCAACTGCTTTCGAAAGGGCCTAAAACAGCCAAAAACTTGTAAAGTACCGACTATCTAAGTCGCAGACCTAAATGTCTGTGCAAATACTTCTTTACAGCAATTAAGATATTATTCTAAAAATTTTCAGCAGTGACAAACATGACACGTCTGTCAATTTTTTAGGTAGATCGATGGACTAAAACCAAAAATAAAGACAAACTTTTTGATCTTTCTATAAAAATTTTTATAACTCTTGCACTTCTGCTTCAAAAGAAAGAAGATATTCCTCTACACCTTCTGAACGAATGCGAAATTTTTTACAAAGCTAAACAAGAAAGCTGTACCCCATGAAGTCTATGAGGCGGGATCGGAAAAGCCATTCCTCCGAAAGAACAACAATTTTTCTCATTGTTGCTATGTCGAAGTTGATTAAGTTCATTGAAGTGTTTGCAATATACCCCCGCAATAAGTTTAATGCAAAATCTTATTGAATATTAATATTGGCGAATAACTTAAGACTAAAGGGATCTTTCGCTTTAGTTTAAAGAATTGAAAAACTCCCCTAAGCGATCGCTAATAGCCCAGCAAGAAATTGTAATCTATTTTTACACTACTTAATATATGAGCGTTAAGTGATTATTCATATTTTCATTCGCTTTTTTCCTTCCGTTCCTTAAGGTTTATCCTTCTTCTTTCGATATTTGACCTTTCGTTACTTCGCTATTTTTCTTTTTCACTATGATCAATCAGAGAATAACTCCTATTCGTGTAATAAAGTTACGGTCAGGAAGATGAGAGGAAAGAGAACAAAATAGGCACAGCCACAATCGTTAAGTGTTACGCCTTCACCGAGTAAGCACTCACTATAGCTACAACTGAAGTAAACTCTATCGCGGTTGAGATTTAAACCAGTGGACACTGACTTATTCGCCGCGATTCTAATTTTACTTCGCTACTCAATCGGGTACAAAAGTAATAGCATTTTAAAAAAATTTGCAATTGGTAAACTACGTATAGGCGATACTCAGCTTGTATGACCTTTGCCTGTTAATAAATTATAGAACTGCCAATGGTAAAATATATTGCTGTCCACTCCCTGCAATTGTATGTCTGTGATAACCGTTTGCAGCGCATTTTTGAAAAAACTTGCATGAATTATATGTCCCTAATGGCTGACCTTAATGGATAGCCGGTGAAATGCCAAAATTGTTATTCCTACGGTTGAATAGAAAAAACCACAAAAAAAAGCATATCCATAACACAACATATATGCCTTAAAAAGCTTGAAGCGAAGGTGTCTGAACCAATTAATTGCGAATGAACATTACACGTGCTATAGATTGCGTATAACTTTTTCTTTCTTCCTTTCTTCCGTTTTAATTATTTATTATTTCTTAAAAATAATTTTTCCTTATAGTTAGTTATTCACTAGTTTCTCTTAAAAATTTTATTTACATATACATATATATATACATATATATATAAAGACAGTCAAATGCCTAATATTTTCTTTTTTCGTCGCATCGTCGTCGCGCAACAGTTCGCGATACTTGGCTGCAAACCAGTTTCTAAGAATAAAAGTCCCGTAATATAAAAAAAACCTGTTTTATTAATATATTTTGCTTATCTATAAAGTACTGTTGTGCTGATTCTTAGTTGCGCAACAGTGTTGCAACAACAAGAATATTTATGCTGTAGACAATATGTGTTTATATGTTACACACAATATGACCCGTAGATAAGTTAAATAGAAGTTAACAACAAGTTATCTAAAAAAAAAAAAAAATGTGCTAACATTTCGTAATCATTTGTAAACAAATTGAATTTGAATTTCTTTCATATCTTTATTGACCTTGTTAAAGGTCTAAACTAACAAAAAAAAAAAAAAAAAAAAAAAAAAATATTATCGTCCGAACAGGAGATAAAAAGGGGTAGTTCATTCGTGGCCATAATCATTTAGTTATTCGTCCATCCACGCACGCGACTTCGTTTCACTTCATCTTCACCCTCGACACTTTCTCGTAGAAGAAACATAACTGAATATATGCGGATGTTTTTGCTATTAACAGTAAAACTATTTACTTGATATTGTAATTATGATGCTAAGGTGA